AGACAATAATGCTGGGAAAAGTGGAGGGAAGTAGGAAGAGTGGAAGGCCACTTGCTAGATGGATGGACTATATTAAGAAGGTCATGGCTATTAAGGGGTTGCAGGAATTGAGCAGAGCAGTGGAGGATAGAGGGCCTTGGAGATGTCTCATTCATAGGGTACCATGAATCGAGATTGACTTGAGCGCAGTTAACAACAAAACCAGTAATGGAACACTTTCAGGACTAGCACATTATTTCATTAGGCCAAACACTGTTCCCATGAAACTATCAAATATTTTATTATGATTTATTTCATTACCATCAAGTATACTTAATGCCATGGAGACAAAGTGCTTCCTAACTTCTAAAAATAAGATAGAGTGAAGTTAACACCATGCAGCATGGAGCCAGAAAGGTGGCTATGTAAAATAAATTCCCTAAACAAAGGAACTGCCTAGTAAATTATAGCCCAGAAGGTAAATTACCTTGAAAAATGTAAAGGCCTCTAAAAATAGTGCTTCCAAAAATAAGAGAGAGAGGAAGGGAGGAGAGAGAGAGAGAATGCCATTATAGTGTTGCTACAGTGATGTTAAAATCAAATGTTTGTTGATATTTGGCACTCTGTGGAATTGTCTTGATACCTTCCATGGGGATGAATCAATTTTTAGCATTTCAGCTTTGTGCCATCACATTGCCCCTTTCCTCTTGTTTCCTGAAATGTTACTCACTTTCTTGATACCAGGAGGACAAATGAAGTTGCAAGGCCATAAAATGAATTGATCATTTCTTCCCAGTTAACTCCCATCTACAAGGCATTCAACCCTTAGCTAGACTAAGGTTGATAGATAATAACAAAGTAGACCTCTTGAGATCTTTATTGATATTTCCTGCAGACAGATCACCTTCAGGCAGAATATATTGGATAAATCAGAGCAATTTCATTTTTGGCTTCAAACTTCACTAAGTTGAGAGGTGAGGGTTATTTTTTTTTAAAGGAAATCTCTGGTGATATATAACAAAATGGAAGTGAGGAGACTGCCACCAGTTTAGAGGATTTGGCCAGCTAGATTATTATTGTAAATATACTTTGTGGATGACAGGGGCTCGTGTGGCATTTTATTATATGTTTGGGGTGAAGAGGAAGTAAAGAACAGAAAGAACCACAACATGGTGGTAGAGACATGAGAGATGGTGGTGGTAAGAGGATTGTTTTGCAACTGGAGAAGGGGGGGGATGGATGTTGCTTCCCCCTTCCAGAGTTGTTTCGGTGAGTTTGAAGGTAATGTTTTTCGTAGAATCATAGAGTTGGAAGAGACCACAAGGGCCATCCAGTCCCATCTCATGCCATGCAGAACTCAGAATCAAAGCACCCCAGATGGCCATCCAGCTTCTGTTTAAAAGCCTCCAAGGAAGGAGACTTCATCACTCTCTGAAGGAGGATGTTCTACTGTCAATCAGCTCTTACTGTCAGAATTTCTTCCTAATGTTGAGGTGGAATCACCTCAACCTTTTGAAGAAGACATCAGTAAATGGGAAGAGTGTGACCATCCAGTGATCTGTTCTTGGATGAGGGAGCTGACCTGAGGCATATTATAGAAAGCGGTTGAGATAAGAGACTCTTCCCAGATTATCAATGGTTCAACAGGAGCAATCACTCCAGGCATTTCATAGGCTGGGTGCCCAGTTCTGAAGGAAAAAAGTAAAGCTTGTTTCCTCTTCCTTCCAGTTACTTTCTGGACCTCCTTATTGTCATTAACATTTTGTCAGTTGCTTGAGTAGTTGAGTAAAACTGCATTAGGTCAGGCTGTTCGTTTCAGCAATGTTTCAGGTCTAAAAATGGTTTTAGACATGATTCTTTTTATTTTACTATTTAATTTCAATGCCACATGGAGTAGCTCAGACGTGTGCACCAAGAGGACAATGTTTTGAGAATGTGTGTGTGTGTGTGTGCATGCGCATGCATGCCTTCAAGTTGCCTGTCAACTTATGGTGACCTCATGGATTTCACAGGATTTTCTTAGGCAAAGAATACGAGGTGGTTTTGCCAGTTTCTTCCTCTGAAATATAGCCTACTGAACTGGTATTGATTGGTGGTCTCCCATCCAAGGACTGAACCTGCTTAGCTTCTAAGATCAGATCTGGTGCCTTGAGTATTTAGGACATTACATTCTAGGACAACTTGGAGTGCACACAACAGCAGTTACTTCTAATAGTTCAACTGTCTTTGTAAATACTTTTGGGTTCATGGAACCATAACTAATTTATTTTTTCTTAAAAGCTGAGGCACCACTTGCTTTCATGAAATTTGCACAAAAACCTCCCACGGTGTAAAAGCTTATCAAAAGCAAGAAGAATATATTTGAATTGTTTTGATGTTGCGTGTGAGAATGAAATAAGCAAAGATTCACCTAAGCCAAAGACACTCCAATAACTAGAAGAAGTCTGAAGCATCCCCACTTCTGTTTTAAAACTGAGGACCCACAAACTCTGTTCACTCATTCTCACACAGGTGTTTCCTGGCATGTGAGTGGATGGGGCTGTACTCATTGTTTCTGGTTTTTTGTTTAGAATGGGGAAGGGGGAGGAAATATTTGGACTATAACACCCAGAATCTCTTAGCCAACAGAATGACATGGTGGCCCCTATTCCATGTACAAAAAAGGCAACTAGACTACCATTTGTGGACTTGAAAATACTTAATAACAGATTCGTTATTATGGCCAACTTGGTTTGGGGATTCTGGGAGCTATGTACAAAAGGTAACTTTCCCAAGCTCTGTTCTAAATCACATAGGATGTCTTTGCAAGTGTGAAAATGGTAATGCAGCTCAGAAGGCAAGCTAATGAGGGCACCCTCATTTTTCCAAAGTAATTAGTAATTAGTTTTGACCGAATTGTCCTTTACATTCCTAATTTATCTCATATGTTGTAAATTTGAACTTGCTGGGTCTCTGGACTGTAATAAAGTGTTGTAGTTGTTGTAATTACATGAAGGGAAATGAACAGGGCTACAGAAATTAAGAGCATTTTTAAAGAAATCTTGATTTCTAGATTTCAGTAAATGGATCATGGCCTGTTTCAACAAATTTTTATATATTTATATTCTTTGCAGTCCCTCAGTAATGCTGGTGTAAGATGGCATTGCATGGCACTTAGCGGCATTTGGAAGCCGTCACTGCAGCTCTTAGGAATTCATTCTCAGTTCCAGGAGTCATAGGAACAGAATGTGTCACAGTGTTACTTCCTTTCTCCTAAGTTAAATAAATAAAAAACAAGCAACTGGTCAGTTGCCAAGCGCATTAACATTTTTGCTATTACATTAAAAAGCACACCCATCTAAAACATGTACTAATAGCATCTGTGCCAATAGAATCAGTGCACCTATAGGGGTAGTGTGAATGATCAATAAGTAACAAAAGAGAACTGATGATGAAATTATACAAGCTTTCAAAAAACATCACTGCTTGAATTCAAAAAGACTGAGACCTTAAAACAGTTTGTACATATTCACATAATCTCATGGGTTCTTTAAGTCCCCGAAGGCAGTTTAGAAATCCATACATAAATAAATAAATTTAATTTTGCTGGAATAGCAAAACAGACAACACTAAACCAGTGGGAGGCCTTATAAAGAAATGGGTCTGTTTCACATGTTGTGTTTGAACATGTTTTAATTTATTTGTTCACATATTATATTTCTAATGAGAAATCAGCATTTATAATAATAATAATAATATAATAGTTTATTTATATTTTCCCGCCTCTCCCTACGGATCGAGGCAGGAGTGCAACAGTAAAATGTACAACAATGTACAAAGATGCAATATATAAAAACATAACAATTTAGCTGTTCTTTGCCACTTAGGCAGACACAGAGAAGGAGATTTCTCTCTTTCTGATCTTGGACAATATGCCAGGATGGTATGGGAGGAAGCAACTGCTAAAGCATCTTAGAACCAAACTATTTAGAATTTCAAAGATAATCCTCTGAATTCTGCCCAGAGGAACGCCGGGAATCAGTGGAATTGTTGTAGGATTGGTATAGCATGATCCCTTGAGTGTGCGCCCATCAACATCCTTGCAACTGCATTCTAGTCCAGGTGAAGTTTTTGAAGTCTTTTTAAGCATAGTACATTGTGTGAAATGTGAAGTTGTAGGCTTTCATGGC